CGATTGTCTGTTAAATTTCTCCGATCTGCGTTATTCGTCGTGACTCTGTTCTTGCTGTTCCGGTAATCTGAGGCTACATTGGTCAATTTTTCGGATCTTCGTCGTTGTTAGCGTTTTCCTTTCTCGATTTCATTCTATGTTTCTCACTCGAGATCTCCGGTGTGGATTTTATAGGAGTCTAGGCATCCAAAAATAAGGAACCATAGGTAAAAGAGGAGAAGGTCCTCTCGGACTTAGAGTGAAGATGATAGCATAAATAAATGTAAGGGTCACATGATCAAAGAGAAAAAGTCGATAGATCAAATATGGTAAATATGACTGATTGTATCGGTGTTCTTGGAGTTTGATTGAGATTTGATATGAACAAATATTCTGTCCAAACGGTAACCTCAATCATCTTCATTGTTTTGGACACAGCCACACGTATATCCAAGTCTTTGAATAATGATCTTGTTGAGTTATCCTCTTCTCCAACACTGTGTTCCATGTTTGTAGATTTTGCAATTTGTGGATCCAAGATTTTGAAGCCATGTACAGGTTTTCAAGGCCACACCCTTTTTGTTTCGATTCTGGCTCTCTCTCTTAAGCCATGTACAGGTTTATGTTCGTTTTCAAGTTCTGGGATAACCTCTTGGAATCACTCCTTGTGAATGAAGCTGTTTTTCATGATGTGGGTTTGAGCAGCTTTCAATTTTGATGAGAGTAGTGTGATTCTGTATACAATGTGGCCAACCACATATGATGGCATTTGTTAGCAATTTTGCTCTTCTGTAGCCAAGAGAAACAATAGTTACCGTGCGATAATGAGAATATGAAGGCTTAAGGTTAACTGTTGGGACTTGGGGCATTGTAACTATTAGAATAGAATATGCAATACTGTTAATATATATATAAATATATATATATATATATATATGGGGGGTTAAGACAAAATAGAAATATGTGCCTTCGGTCAAAAACGGCTCATGGTATTATATCTATGTGTAGAGGTTGTCCAATGATATTTTTGATTTGAAATTCGCCTCCAAAAGCCCAACAGCCCCCACTTTTTCATTAACCTTTTCCACAAAACCACGGAAATGAATCCTCTCTCTCTCTCTCTCTCTCTCTCTCTCTCTCTCTCTCTCTCTCTCTCTCTCTCTCGCTAATAAGTCATAGTAAACGTCAGCGCAAAAAAAAAAAAAACTGTAAATGAAAGTGGACGAATGTGAACATAAAGGATGCTGGTATTTCCGAGGACATGCAGAATGTGAACCTATTCGAGGACATGCCCTTGTCAACCCGATTCGAGTTTAATATCGTTTCGGTTCGTTTTGACTCGATTATGTTATATGAATGTTAAATAATAACCAATTCGATATTTATATATAAATTCGTGTCTAATGGCGACTAGCTTGGGAGTTATTGTTATTATTATTATTCACTGCCTACATTTTATACGCACACAGACGCTAATGCCTTTCTATAATATACCATTACATTTACACAGAAAAAAATATCACATATATATTACGTTTACATAGAAAAAGTTTGTGCGGTAATATCACAAACCTCGACAACACTTTGATTTCTATAATGTAAACTCCATCAAATAACAAATCAACAGTTAATAACGGGTAGTAGCTGCAAATGTGACTTTAATGCATGGGAAGATAATTCCAGAATCTATCATTTCTGTGGAAATTATCTTTTCTTTTTCTTCTCTTTTTTTAGTTTACCAATTTAATTTAATCGGTTTCTTATACAGGCGTTCCTACGTGGAAATGATATAACGCATTAAATTAACATCTCGTTTTTTTTAACATATATATATATATATATATATAATAGCGGAAGTCGGAATATAAATCTATGTCGGTAGGACCAGATAGGAGTATGTTGTCAGTCCGATGTGTCAACTGTAAAGTGACTTGGCCAGATACAGCCCATGGTTTCATTAGTGTAAATGTTGCAAAAAGGTCCATCTTTGAATTGAAATTTGAAATTTCGCCTCCAAAATCCCAACGGTACCCAAATTTCTCTTACCGCAATATCCAAATTTGGATCATTTAGTGATAAAATAATATATAAAATAATTTTATTTCAATTCAAATCTAAACGCATAGAAAGAAATTTATCTGATTTTTCCGATCATTATATTAAAATTCTAATGAACTTTCAAATTATAAAAAAAATTCTCTTGCCCAATAATTGATTCATTTTTTTAAAATAGAATGACGGAAAGCAATCTTTTTTGTTACAAATTATAGGATACGTCAACGCAAAAAAAAAAAAGCAGAAAAATTGTAAATGAAAGTGGACTTTCTGGACGATGCTGACAAAATGCCAAATCCAAAACGATGTTTGGTAATTCAAATGGTTTTGCTGTGGGCATCAAAGTTGCCATCAAAATGATAAGGACGTTTGGTTAATCAATTGGATTTGACAAGTCAAGGTGATTTATAGTGTTACCGAAGTTTAGAGAATTTGGTTTTTGTTACATGACCGCTAGATTTTTTACTGTCCACCACCCATTTTAAAAATATTGAATAATTTCTTCACTTAACAATATGAAAAGTAAAATCACTTTTGTGGTTTACATGTGCAGATTTCAAAAAACAAGGCTTGGAAGCCGAGTTAGACATTGAAACGACGCTTCATATTATTGAAATTTTAATCAGTTTCGTGTCCCATTTTGGAGTTTTCTCAATTCATTTGCCCGACAATAGTGCAAACCCCCCGTTTCAACATCCCAAGCAGAACAAAAGACAATGAGAAAAGAGAGAGAGAAAAAAGTTAGTGAGAGTTTAAAAAAGAAATTATTTTTTTCTTGATATTTTTAAGGGTTTTCTCTTTAATTTGTTAATATTTATTTTTTCTTAACAATTATTATTATATTCTCTTTATAATATCGACTAGAATGTTCTAAAAAGGTAACATGACGAATGCCGTTTGTGGATTCGCACTTGTTGAATTTTAGGAAGTGGCAATGGATCAAGAGATAAGAACAAAAAGGTTAGAGAAGATATGTACATGTGAAGGTGATATCCCAATGTGAATCTAAAACAAGTCTAAAGGTGAGATAACACCGAAAAAGAATATTTAATAGATAGACCATTGGATCGAGCTCTTGTTACAATTTTTAAAAAAATGGGAAAACGGATGGAAATTATAAATTATATTTTTATATTATCCAATCAGTTCATATCATATCCATACAACTTAAATAGATGGAATTGTTGAATGAGAGTTTTTTTACCTGTAAAGTAGTTTTTTTTTACTAACTAAAAATTATGTCCTTTATTTATTTATTTATTTGTGTGTTTGTTCTATTTCAACTTGCTATTGTATACCATAGTTTTTTATTTTTATTTGGAATTATTTTCAGTGTGTGTGTGTATATATATATATATATAAGTAATTGAGAAAATTTGGAAGAAATCCCAATTTATAGACTATATTTTTAATTCCAACACTATTTTTAAAATTTGCCTCCATACCTATGGATCTCCTCCCCAAAAGAACAAAGTAAAAAAAATCATATTCTAATTTTTCTTATTTTTATAACCTCAAAAGAAAAAAGAACTATTGATTAAAGAGATTCTATAAAACATCGCCGTAAGAGCCGGAATTGAAATTGTTTCGACTAACGATATGGTAGACGATGTTATAACCATTGCCAATTGATAAAATTAAAAGAATTTATTGAATTAAAAAAAAGACTGATTTATAGATGTGTGTTAAAAGATTTTGGATTACTAGCTAAGCTGTGAATTTAAATTTACAGAAATGGAAAAGGTAAAATCTGAAAATATAGAGTGCGAAATTTTTAATTTAAATTGAAATCGATTGATATGAGGGTGATGTATTCTTAAATATATCAAGAAAATTATAGCCCACAAGTAAAAAGTGACGGCGACTAAAACATAAGAAAATGAAAAGGGTAGATAAATACATATGGGTATACACAATGTACTTATATATGTGTAACATATTCATATACCTATGCATACAAACATATATGAATGCAAATAAATACATATATACATACATCCATATATGCAGATATATACATGTATATACATGCATATACGCATATATAATACAAATTTTGACTCTATAAAATTAAAAAAAAATCAATTAACTGTTAAATGGTAAATAATTTTAATTAAACACTATTAATATAGCTTAAATGCTTATCATCAATGAAATCATTTAATGATTATATAAATTTAATATGGTTACATTTCCTTGAATACATGACTATACATGAATGGTCTCAAAGTACTACACATCCGCGTCTCGGTCGTTGGTTGATTACCTTTTCTTTTAATGTGGAATTTTTAGAAAGTCACGTGCTTAAGATATAAGAGCCAATTAGGTTATAAGACTCGTGCGCGTGTGTACATGTGTATGTATGTGTGCATGCATGCATGTGGCGGACACACGTTATCATCAATAAGGTCACATGCCCCAGGAACCTAAAAAAAAATGTTTTTTTATAAAAAATTTAACACGTTATTTTATAAAAAATGAATGTTAATCCGCCACTAATCATGATCTACAAATATATGCCCCGTTAAATTTTTTTCATGGCCGCTAGTGTATGTATGTATGTATGTATGTATGTATGTATGTATGTATGTATGTATGTATGTATGTATGTATGTATGTATGTATGTATGTATGTATGTATGTATGTATGTATGTATGTATGTATGTATGTATGTATGTATGTATGTATGTATGTATGTATGTATGTCTCAGGGGTTTGAATTCAATCTTCACTACCTTCATCCTTTCTTTCTTTATTTTTTATTTTTTATTTTGTTTGGTGCTTATTGGCGAATGTGGTTTCGTCGCAGCGGTTGTTTATAGAATCATTCACTCACTGTTGCACTTTCTGCATAATGAACTCGCAAGAACATAGGTCATGTCGGAGAATTCTTCTTCACGATAATCGATTTCATTCTTACGAACAAGACGATGGTCTAATCAATTTCATTCTTACGAACAAGACGATGGCCCTTGCTCTCTTCTTCTTCTTCTTCTTCTTTATCCTTTTCGTTCTTGCCTTCTTCTTAAGCTGCTGTTGGAATCATATTGCTGTTTTGGATCGAACCCCTACATCTGCTTCTGCTTCCTGCCCCTCTTGCTTTGATTCTGGGTTTAGGTACGATGTGTTCATCAGTTTCCGAGGACCCGACACTCGCAACGGTTTCACCAGCCACCTTTTCTACGCCCTACGCAGAGCAAATATCAGAACTTTCATGGACCACGAGCTGGAGAAGGGCGAGGAGATTTCACGAGGGTTGTTCGACGCGATCGAGCGGTCCAAGATCTTGGTGGTGGTTTTGTCAGAAAACTACGCATCCTCGACATGGTGTCTTGATGAGTTGGCGAAGATTATGGAATGCAGGAGGAGAGGCCACAAGGTGTTGCCTGTCTTCTACGGCGTCAAGCCCGTGGAGGTCAGGAGGCAGACGGGAAGATACGAGGCTGCTTTGGCAATGCATCAGAATGGCTCGCGAGAGAAAGGAATGACGGAGAAGGTTAAAAGGTGGAGAGACGCCCTTACCGAAGGGGCCAGCCTCTTCGGATATGATTCTGATGTGGTCAGGTGAGTCATGTAAGGATAGGTTTCTGTATTTCTATTCATAGTATCCTTATATTGAGATGAATCTCAAGTGAAGTATGAGCCTTGCTTTGCTTTCAATTACAGATGCCGGTACTACTGTTGCATCTTCTAACACTTTTTCTTTTACAGTCCGGATGGTAAACTCGTGAACGATATCGTTGACGACATCCTAGAGATGCTGCAAAATTCGAGCATAACCCGACCCACTTCTCACGTAAACTTTGTTGGAACAACAACTCTCCGCTCCGAAGACTATTCACAATAG